ATAGGGACTACATTAAGGCCAATGTCCTACTATTTGGGTACATGGACCCTTAGGGAATTCGCTTGAGGGAGGATCGGCTTCGGGTTAAGGTCTTCAGGTAGCTTAACCCTAGCCCTCCAGGTACCTACTATACAGGGCCCTAGGGGCTCTAGTACCCTATATAGTTGGTACCTGGGGGTTAGGATAATCAGTTTAGGGTTTAGGGTTTAGGGTTTAGGGTCCCTAAACCCTAAACCCTAAACCCTAAACCCTAAAGCTGGACGCTTAGAATTCGATGGTACTTCTGGAGCCTTTCTGGTCTGACTTGGAAGCTTCCCACAGATTCAGCTGCTGCCTGGCACCACAAACATTACCTGCGTTGTGGCAGGACTCTATATACATATATATATATATATGTATATATATATATATAGATAGAATATATATATATATATATAAATATATATATACCTGCCTACCTCTACCGTACCGTACCGTACCGTACCCTTCCCTACCGTACCGTACCTACCTACATACTCCAGAGCTCCAGTTGCTTGAAAAGTGGGCTACTGACCATGCATTATGTAACGTCAGAACCTTTATTTATGTAACAAGAGGCCTAAGGAATTAATGATACATGTATACAGTTATGCTTATATATATATATAAGGCGCCCAAAGAAGTCTGAAACTACCTGCTCAGCTAGAGGGGCACCGGAAAAGTATTCTTAGCTGCATACAGACGTCGAAATCCTTTACCACGAGTCCTCAAGTTATTTCATCAACACGGTTTCCGGCTTAGGGTCAGAATGATGTAGGGGGGTTCCTATGCCGAAACGGTATTTTAGAAGGAAATTTCTTGCTCCACCACGAAGTTGAGATTGCCCGAAGGGCCCACGTAGTTATGTGCTCTCCCACATGCTACCGACACCTACGCACGTTGCCACTATCCTGAACCCGACTTTGGCTTAAACCCCTCCACAAACCCTTGTCAGACCCAACATGTCGCCGTCCACAATTGACCACGAAACACATCCCGACAATCGACAATCGATGGGAGTCAAGAGTTTGAGGCCATTCTCAATAATTGACGCTTTGGAGACATTTTCATCCTACTAGAACCTACAGCCCCAAACACTTGCTCCCACCTTGTCCAGATAGACTATCTTCTCCAATGCCTAGGAGGGAGGTTTTGAGAGCCCCAGAATCCAAAAAATACGGCAGTATTCGAGGTTCCTGAACAACAGGACCTCCGTCGGAGGACGTGGGAACTTTCTGGAAACCCAGAGAATCCAATATCCCGAAATTAAGGAATATATATTAAATCATATTAGGAATCCTGCTATGGTATATTCCTTAATTAAGAGGGATATTGGAGTCTCTGGGACCCTAAACAGAAAATCGCATGGGGAACTTTACGAACACTCGAAAGCAATCTACTGACACTGACCCGCTCCGACACATCAACACATCAACTCTTTTTAGGGCTTAGTGAGGAGTTCTACTTTTAGGGGTTTAGGGTTTAGGGGTTTAGGGGTTTAGGGTTTAGGGTCTAGGGTTTACGGCTTAGGAGTTCTACGTTTAAGGTTTAGGGTTTAGGAGTTTAGGGGTTTCGGGTTTTCGGGTTTAGGGTTGAAGGGTTTAGGGTTTACGGTTTAGGGGTTTAGGGTTTAGGGTTTAGGGGTTGGGGGTAGGGTTTTGGGGTGTAGGGTTTAGGGTCTACAGCCTTCTTGGAGGCTTGGGGTACGTGTCACCTAGGTGCACATGCGCGGATAGCCCAGCCATGGCCTAGCTCCTGAGGAACTTTTAATTAAGGTTTAGGGTTTAGGGTTATAGCTCTCCAGCTACGATGCATATCTTTGTATAGGCATTGTATAACATGAACAAGCCCCCGAACTTCTCTAAGGTAAATGACTGTGCCGTCATGGCTTTAGAGCTCTTGCTTCCATAGACTTAATAGGAAAGACCTAGAAACGAAACCTAAAGCCCATAAATCCTAAACCATAAAAACCCAAAACCCTGCAAGCCCACCAACCCCAACTCTGGACCCAAAATGCTAAACCTGAACTCCGAAACCCCAAAACCGAAACTGGACCCCGAACCCTTTGGATAGCTATATCATCTGATACTACAAAGAAGTACGCCTTTATGGCCATGATTACTAGAAATGTTCCGATTCAGACCCCTATTCTGTATCCTGTAACTGTATGCCGCGGACGTCGCTCTCTAGGGGGGAGGGGGTTCTCGAGCCCGCTCCAAGCTATCCGCCTTTCTTGGGTCAAGACTTCCAAGCGTTTCGAGAATTTTGCTACCAAGGCGTCTGCGGCAGGGTCGATAAATGTGATTCTTCTTGTCAGGCTTGTTCCCAGAGACTCCAATATCCCTTAATTAAGGAATATACCTTAAATCATGATAGGAATCCTACTATAATTTAAGGTATACTCCTTAATTAAGGGATATTGGAGTCTCTGGGTTCATGGTCTTCGTTCGGGGCTTCGTGTCACTCAACTCAGCAGGACTCTACGATGACGCCCCAAACCCTACCTTAAGAACCCAAAACCTACTTTTTTGTAGGGTCCCTATAAATCCCATATTTGGGTTTATA